AGTTTCATTCTGTTTTGCATAGGGTTGGTATGAGCCAGTACCAACTCGATGACATCTAACAAAAACAATAAGCCCCCAAACAGACTCAAACAAAGAGAAAGACATACATTCTTGAATGTGAAAACTCAACTTCATAAAGAGGTCAGTTTTCCCTCAGTTAACTTATAAATTTTACATGATCTCCATGAAACAACAATAAAATAATGAACTATGGTTTAGTCACACAACAGAGTTCCTTCCATAAAACTGCAAAAAGGAACAAGGGATGTTTCTGTATATTATTATGAAATGATCTATGAAATGCAAGGAAAAAAAGCACAATGGAAAAATTACATCTAGCTCGAGGTAACTTTTCTAAGAAAGAAGGCCATGAATACACATTTATCTGGACAAGAAAAAAGATGGAAGGATAAGCCTAAGCAAATAAGTATGCATATATGTTACCTACAAGAGTATGTTTGAAAAAGGATGAAGTGGGCAAGGATTATTTTATAGAATTTTAAAACCAAATTCTTTTTTTTTTTTTTAAAGCAATCTTTGAAAATCAAAATTAAGCAAACCTAAATTTGCTTCCAAATGATGGCATATCCACCAGAGACTAGTGAGCCAAATGATTTTGCAAGTAATTTGACTATAGAGTCCTAATAGAATACATCTTAAGTATAAAAAGCAATCGCAAAAGCAGCACAAAATAAACAACAACAACAAAAACCCTCAAAACCGAAACTTAACCTAATATATTGTAATCCTGTTGTTGTAGTAGTGTTGGTATCAGTACTCTGGTATTACGTACTCTGTGTATTACGATATAAAGCAAATGAACAATCCTGTCTTTCCGGGTGATACCGAGAATCCGAACTTTTGACATGAGAGAAATGAGATAGAGATGGTGGTGTGCCGTGAGTTGGTTCTGACCCATAGCAACCCAGTATAGGGCTTCTGAGGCTATAAATCTTTATGGGAGCAGAAAGTTTCATCTTTCTACCACAGAGTAGCTGGTAGATTTGAACTACTAACCTTGTAGTTAGCATACTAACTGGTAATTCACTACACGGGTCTTTGAGATATAGATTGTTGTTACTGAGTGTCCTTGATTCGGTTAGACTCATAGCGACCCTGTATGGGGTTTTTGAGGAGCAAGTGGTGAGTTTGGACCACCAACCATGCAGTTTGAACTGACCTTATGGTCGAGTACTTATCCTTCAGCATCACACCAGGACTCTGAGATATAGACACAAGAGGCTAAACAAAAGATCTTAGAACCCTAAATCTGAATCAAAATCATCATTACGAATCCATGGTATAGTTTATCTTTTAAAAATAAAAATTAAAAAAGAGGAAACAAATCCTAACTCTGTTCTCTAAAAATGCCCAGAAGTAATATGACAAACAAATCAGATTGTGGTCTCGAAATTACTCTTTGCATTAAAAGAAACCAGTACTCATATGAAATAGCTCCAGATTTAGGACAGAAAATGTACAAGATGAACCTGGAATATTCTGTCATTCCAGATAGTGTGGAAGCTATCAAATACTACAACCAGTGTCTTGTCAAAAGTACTAGGAGCTAATTTCAAGAGGTTCCCCCATTGACCCAAAGATGAGACAATTTCAATACCAGTAAAGAAAAAACCGCAGTGATTGAAACACAGCAATCATATAATGTTATTTAAATCTATGAGTTCCTAGTAATACTATCAAAGAAGCACAACAGAAACCTAGTTGGTAACCATTAGAGGGTATTAGGAAGCCAACTTGTTATTTTGAAACTGGTACTGACGGCTTCAAAGAAGCAAGTTTTTCTTTATCCTGCCTATCCTAGAAGAGGAACTGAAGAAAAAATTCAAGCCTCGACTTTCGTTATTGAAAGATTCACTGGGCAAATTATTGAATGATGCAGAATGCATCAAGAAAAGATGGAAGGAATACACAGAGTCATTGTACCAAAAGGAAATGGTTAATGTTCAACCATTTCAAGAGGTACCATATGAACAAGAGCCAATGATACTCAGAGAGGAAGTCCAAAGTTCACTGAAAGAAGTGGCAAAGAACAAGGCACCAGGAATTGATGGAATAAAAATTGAAATCTTTCAGGAAAGTGAGGCAGCACAGGAGGCACTCACTCATCTCTGCCAAGAAATTTGGAAGACAACTGTCTGGCCGACTGATTGGAAGAGATCAATGTTTATGCCCATTCCAAAGAGAGGTGACCCAACGGAATGCGGAAATCATCGGACAATCTCTTTGATATCTCAAGCGAGTAAAGTTTTGCTAAAGGTAATACAGAAACGGCTACAATCATACATTGACAGAGAACTTCCAGAGGTTCAAGCTGGATTCAGAAGAGGCCGTGGAATGAGAGATATCATTGCTGATGTCCGATGGATCTTGGCTGAAAGCAGAGAATATCAGAAGGTTGTTTACCTGTGCTTTATTGACTACGCAAAGGCTTTCGATTGTGTGGATCATAACAAGCTATGGACAACATTGAGAAGTATGAGTATTCCAGAACACTTAATTGTACTTCTAAGAAACCTGTACCTAGACCAAGAAGCAGTTGTTCGAACAGAACATGGGAACACTGAATGTTTTAAAATTGGGAAAGGTGTGAGACAGGGTTGTATTCTTTCACCATACTTGTTCAACCTGTATGCTGAGCAAATAATATGAGAAGCTGGGTTCTATGAAGAAAAATGTTGCATCAGGATTGGAGGAAGACTCATTAACAACCTGCGATATGCAGATGATACAACCTTGATCGCTGAAAGTGAAGAGGACTTGAAATATTTACTTACGAAGATTAAAGAGCACAGCCTTCGATATGGATTACATCTCAATGTCAAGAAAACAAAAATCCTCACCACTGGACCAATAAACAACATTCTTATCAATGGAGAAAGGATTGAAGTTGTCAAGGACTTCATTCTTCTTGGATCAACTATCAACACTCGCGGAAGTAGCAGTCAAGAGATCAGACGACGTATGGCACTGGGCAAATCTGCTGCACAGGAACTTTTTAAAGTATTGAAGAGCAGAGATGTCAGCTTGAGGACTAAAGTGCGCCTGACCCAGGCCATTGTGTTTTCAATAGCCTCATATGGATGCGAAAGCTGGACAGTGAATAAGGAGGATCGTAGAAGAATTGATGCCTTTGAGTTGTGGTGTTGGAGGAGAATACTGAAAGTGCCATGGACTGCCAAAAGAACCAATAGATCTGTTTTGGAAAAAGTGCAGCCAGAGTGCTCCTTGGAGGCCAGGATGGCTAAGCTTCGTCTCTCCTACTTTGGACATATTGTCCAGAGGAAACAATCGTTGGAGAAGGATGTCATGCTGGGTAGGGTGGAGGGTCAGAGAAAAAGAGGAAGACCCCCAACGAGATGGATCAGCCAGGTGGCATCATTGATGGACTCAAGTGTGGCAGTGGTAGTGAGGTTGGCCCAGGATCGGACATTGTTTCGTTCTGCTGTGCATGGGGTCGCTATGAGTCGGTTCCGACTCAATGGCACCTGACAACAACAACAACAATCCTAGAAGAGTCATTGTGTGGCACTGTGGGATAAAGCACTGGTCCACAAGGCTGGTTTGAACTACAAAGTTGGTGGTTCAAACTCACCAGCCAATCCCTGGAAACCCTATACAGGTCACTATGAGTCAGAACAGACTCAACAGTACAACATCCTATATAAATTGTACTACTGAGTAACCAAACAGCAGAAGAAGGAAGTTCCTTTAATACATGTATTCAGCTATTAAGGAATGACAGGATTAGAATATTACTAATTTCGAAACCTCTAATAATGGATGCAGGCACTGGGTATCAACAACTGGTAAAATCACAACAAAAGAGAGAAAGCCAAGCATTGTGTACCTGTTGATGAGACAGCATACCTGCTATTTCATCCAAAAGGAAAGTTGAATTTGAATAGGATCAAGCTGTCTAGACTCAACTTATCAGTTTACTGGAAATGCTGAAGATAGAACATATTAAATCACACCAGCAAACTGCCAGCAGCCAAAATTCACACGTGGGAACGCTAAAGGACAAATGGCTAAGTTTCTTCAACAAAGAAATAGCAAAAGAAATACAGAGATGGAAAGGAAACCTAACAATTAAAAGAGGCTTAAGAGACTATCAAGTAATCACACTATATATATGAACCATATTTGGATCAAATTCAAACTGAAAATAAATAAAGTACAATTAAATTAGAAATTTGAACACTGACTAGGTACTGGATAATATTAAGAAATTTCTGTCAGTTTGGGGAGAGGGACATGGTGGTACTGTTAATTTAAAAAGTCATCTTTAGGAAGCACATACTAAGACATTCATGGACAAAATTATGTATCTGGGATTCGCTTCAAAATAATAAAGGTCAATATAGGATACAGTGTATTAAAGCTGGGTTATAGACATACGAAAGTTCATTATGTGATTGTTTTTAGTATTATTGTTGTTAAATGCCATCAAATCAGTTCCGACCCATAGTGACCCTATATAGAATTTGAGGAGTGGCTGGTAAGTTTAAATCGTCAACCTTGCAGTTCAAATCGATTTTGCAGTCTAGCGCATTAACCCACAGTGACACACAAGGCCTCCCTTCTTTAGTACATGCTTATAATTTTCCACAATACAGCTAAAAAACAAAACAAAACAAAACACCTGTTACATGAGGCTTCAGAAGGTAGCAGCCTAAGGACCCAAACAAGCCAACCAGCATTGCCTGCACAGCGCAAGCTTCTAGTTACCTATAGGGGCCCAGCAATCCCAAATAGCAAATTTAAGATAAAGACATAAAGATGGTAAGTAAATAATATATATATATATATATATATATATTTTTTTTTTTTTAAAGTACTCTGCATCTTAATTGCTATAGGGAAAAAACTCACTTTTCCTTCATTTTGGAGAGAGAACACAGAGGAGAGGAAGAAAAAGAGGGAGTAAGTCTCCCCACCCTGTGGCTAACACAGACGATACAGAGAAGGAGCAGGCTTACCCCAGACATCAGACTTAATGGAAAACTTGTTGTAGGCCAGGCTTTCAGGGGCGGTCCATTTGATCGGGAACTTGGCTCCGGCATGGGCTGTATAGGTATCCCCTGTCATTAACCTGCTCAGGCCAAAATCAGCCACCTTCACCAAGTGGTTTTCCCCTACCAGGCAGTTTCTGGCGGCAAGATCCCTGGGAAAGGAAAACAAAATCATTCATGAGAGCTCCTATATAGCTGGGAATCCAGCTCCACTGATTTACCACTGTTGAGTAAAGGTATAGTATTGACAATGCGAAAATTAAGTCTACTCCCCTGGAAACTTGTGTCAACTCCCCACTGGGGAATAGAACTGCTCCTCAGCAAACATATAGTGGCAGTGAAGTGGCTCCATGACCTGGAGCAAGTTTATCATTCTGGGTTTCAGTTACTTCATCCATATAATAAAGATAGTATTAACAGTGATTGCCTCTTGAGTTTGTTGTAACGAATTAATATGTAAAGTGTTTTGACTGTTGGCTTGAGCATAGTTACGATGTCTGCATGGTTATTACAACTATAGGTCAGGCACAAGGGAACAAGCTTTAGCCCTGTCCTTGATTGTAAGAAACGTACAGTAGTAGTGTGAGTCCCATCCAGAATCTAAAGTCCATAGCATTCTTAACCCTAACTGTGTTTCTTTTCTCTTTCTTCCTGATGCTTACCCAAATGCATCATAAAAACTCTCCCCTGCATAATCAGGTTCCTCTTGCCCCCTAATTCTCCCAGGGAGGTAGGAATCTAATCTTTGGTTCATGGACATCAGCCATGAAATCACAAGGCAAAGGAATGAGAAAGTAGTAATAGCTTAAGGAGAGGGCTGTGTAAGATAGTTTGATCATCAACAATCAGAGAGAAATTAAATACAGAAGAGTTGTGCCTAATAGGATTTGGGTAAAGCATTTTAAGTATGCCTGAATGAAGAGGGAATGGACCAAACCATGCAAGGCAAACCAGAAGTTAAGAAATCTCAATTTGCAGCCTCAGAGGGTTCACTTTCTTGAGTGACAGGAGCATGTGAATCAGGCTCTTCCGGAGCACTGAAAATCTGTCTTACAAGAACCACCAACATTTCACACATGATACTCCTACTCCTATGAAATCTCATGTACAGGTTTCATACTTCAGTTAATTAGGTAGGAAAGGTCACAACTGTGGTGTGGAGAACATCTTGTACAAAATATTTCTGCAAAGCCCATCAGCTTCTGTCCTGTGTATGTTATTACTTTGCTAGGAAGCCATTTCCATCAGCAAAGAATTCAAAGGCCAGGATAATTGTGGCACACATGAAGGTCAAAACACTTCAGCCTTTAAAACAGCCAAGATGTTTAATTCAGGCTCATACATACACAATTCTGACAATAGTAGAAACATCCCTAAGCCAGATGACAGCAGTTAAGTGGGGAATGAAATCATAATAAAGGGGGGAAAAAAGAAAACCACCAAAAAAACATGCCCTGGCTATTATCATGAATTTATGTAAAAGCAATGCCAACCACTCCCAGGAAGAGGTCATTATTGATGACCACTGGCCTTGGAGGAACAATGAGCACTCTATTTCAAAGCGAGCTGTGATTATTAGGAAGGATGCCTTTTATGCACTTCATTTAATATTCCACTTAGTCCAAAATGGTTCAGAAGTGAAATATTTCTTACCCTGGGGTGTAACTGCTCAATTGGTCCAGGGTCTAGGCCAGGTTGAATTTAGTCCTGGATCCATGCCCAGAGCCGGCTATGTCAGAAAACTAGCGTTTACCTTTGCTTCCAGGTCCAATGTACTGCCATCACTAAAGTTACACGGTAAGATGCAAAACCTTGTTGGTTGGAAGTTTTTTATAAAAAGATGCCTGGCAAAGAGGAAGTAAAACTCTCCCTATTTGCAGACGATATGATCCTATACGTAGAAAACCCCAAAGACTCAGTAAAAAAGCTACTAGACCTCA